AGACAGATGTAAAATCAACAAAACCTCTTTTAAACAGGTGACTTAACCTTAGAAAGTTTTAAGTATATGCATCAGTTAATGTTTTTCTTGCGTCGGAACTACTCTGTTGCTTATTAACGACGCCTTTTGAAGAGAAGCCTTTTGCATTCTTGTTGTATATCTCTCTTGAAGAAAGCATAAGCTATAGGGTTTATTCCAGAGTTAATAACTTCTAGAGGTATTTTGTAACGAAAATCGTTACACTTTTGATCAGTTAACAATAACAAACTACAACGCATCGTTAGTCCGTAATATGATAGAAACACACACGTTACCAATGCCACCCATTTTACTGCTGACCTCTTGTTTTGAGTTTTAGCTCTAGCAACCAGTTGATTAAACCGCAATTTCTTAGCTAAATTGCGATCTCTAGAGTATACAGCAAAAAACATGGATGCAAGAAAAAAGATTAGAATTGTGCACAAGATTACCTCGGAAAGCAAACCCAAGTAGCCGCCGAGAGTCTCGATACGATCGATTGCAATGAGTCCAATCGACACTAAAGTAAGAGTGAAAAGAGAAGGAATTCCCCAAGATGTTAGAACCATTTGAATGACTCGACGGCGCTTCATAAAAGTCAAGTATTTAAAAGGTTTCACAACAGCAACATAACGTTCCAATACTAAACTAACCAAGTTTGTTCCAGAGGTGTAAAGAATGAACACTCTTACAAATGTCACAACTAATCCCTCTTTTGAGCGTGGAGTGCATTCGGTTGCAAGGCTGCAGAAGAAGAGTAAAGGAACAGCAATCATCCCAACACCAAAATCAGCCACTGCTAAAGACACGACAAATGCGTTGGTTTTGGTGCGAAGCTGACGTTTACTACAGACGAGGAAGATGACAAATCCATTTACAACCATCGTGAGAATGCTGAGGAACCAGCCGAGAACCCAAAACCACGTTTCCATTGAATTTCTTCTTAAAGGCTGTCTAGGACTTTTCAATTGCTTTCTTCGGTCAAGCCAAGAGTATTTTGAAAGGTTTTAAGGATGAATAATGTAATTGTATTTATATAGAGTTTTTAATCAACCATCTGGCCTCATCTAGCCCACGCAAGAGTTAATTAGGGCAATATATGCTGTTCAATTAAGTCATATTCAGGGTTGCAAACATCCATCACTTTATAACGTTCTTATCAGACGCTTCATGCACGGAGTTTGACGTCTGTTTATTGGTTTTCAAGAAGAATGAACCAATCAGAAATTGATGACAAACGCGGAACATTTTTGACCACATCTTCTAATGTGTTTTAATTCAAAGGAAATTACGGCGGTCCTTTTTTGAGACTATCAGTACAGCATGATAGTGCAAATAAAATGCGAATTAACGAAACTTAGCCAACAACAATAATTTCAAAATTATCAATCGGTCAGTGTTAAGCGTAAATCGCCCCCTTTTGTTACCGAGTTAAAGACGTTTTTAACAAACAAAGAAGCCTCGAAGCACTGTTCGGTTATAAAGCATTTCGGAAGCGGCGTTGTTTGTATTTCGAATCGCCATACGGACTCGTCAAAATACGGCAAAACTCGCAAAAATACTCAACGATACTACACACCAAAACGTCTAAGAAGATGTATTTGTCCACAGCTTGTTCTACATCAGTCGAAACCAAATAACTCGTTTTCATACTCGTTTTAAAGTTCGTCATTTGCAAGACTTGTCAAGTGCCTCACTTTTTTTTAAAAAAATTGTTTGCTAAACACACCAGCAGAAATTAAAAGCATTTCACAAAGACTTATCAAGAAAACGTAACATAAAACTTCCTGAAAGCGTTCGCCTTTGGCAATCTCTCTTGACATACGACCGTTGAATTACATTACTTGATTACTTCTCAAGTAATTCATTTTTAGTCGAACGAAGGTCTTCCTTAATGAGCATCTCCAAGAAAAGTTTTCATGGAATAAAAAAGTGTTGGAAATGTTATATCGTTGTTACCTACGCTACCAAAAATGTGAAAAATTTCCAAATGAAAACGGGAAATTAAAAGTATTTATATCAATGAATCTTATGTCGGCTTTGACTAACAAAGATGATCGTCAATTCTCCGCTAAATTAAACAGAGCTTATGGGGAAGTTGCACGTATGCAAATCGACTGTCGTTACTGAAAAGTCAGGCAATTCAGCACTTTTTTTCCTGCATTTATCGTTTCAAAGTTATCATTTAATTCATCAAAAAGAGCTTAATACTCTGAAACATTGAAGAGAACATACAGTAAAAAACACAGCAAAATTGAGGAGGAATATGATATATTTTTACTGTGCATCATTAAAATAAACAACGCAAGCTCATAGTTATAAGAACCAGATGTTTCTAAGACTAAAATACATGCCAGCCTAAATGATTAATTTAAGAAAACCATTTTCTCCAGTAAAGTACGGCCTCAAAATAATCAATATGTGGTCTTATCCACAAGACTTCATTTAAACAGGTGACTTATCTTTGTTTCATCGGAAGCTTTTTAACTGAACAGCAGTTTAAGGCCGATTTACACAACAGAAAATTTTTGGCACGGCTCGGATAAAATTGGTACGCGTACCAGAAACATTGGTTCGGCACGGATGAATTTAGTCGTGTGAACAACTTTACCTCATCCGTGCCGACCGATGTTTCTGGCACCCGAACCAAAATTTTATCCGTGCTCGGACCTACTCGCGAGGTAGTCCGAGCACGGATAAAATTGGTACGCGTTCCAAAAACTCTAGCCCGGGTCGGATAAAGTGCGTAGTGAAAACGATAAGCCGTGCCAAACCAACATTTTCCGAGTGAGCCTTTATGCGATTAGTCAGCACCATTTGTTGGGAGCATGCGCAGAAAGTTCACTTCACGTTTCAACATGGCGGAAGCAAACTCCAAAGGAAAGTCGCCCAAAAAATCGCGTGGATACTCATGGAAAGAGGAAGATGTAAAGGAATTAATTCAAATAATGCAAGAAGAGACAGTTATGTTTATTCTGGATAATGCGAAGACGCCAAAGGAGAAAAGGGCCGCTTACAAAACTGTTCAAGTACAGATGCAAAAGAAAGGTAAGCTGATCGATGTTTATGCCCCAGGGGTTTATGCGAAAGGTTTTCAATGAAAAACTAGTTAGATCGAAATTAGTACTTTCCATTTGTAACAGGGACTCTTCAAATTTCATCGTGATGCTAGTTAAGGTACTGGATGTTATTTTCGCTCGCCATTTCGTATGTCAGATAATGCAAGCCTTGATGAAGAGAAGTGTTTGTTGTAGAATACCTGGCAACTTAGCCTCTTTGTTTTGTAGGCATTAATATCAGTTTAGATGCCATCATTAACAAATGGAAAAAGCTGAGACAGCAGTACAAACAACATCACGATAAGCAAAAAAGAAGTGGCACTGAACGTAAGAAAAAATGGAAGGTTTTTTGATGAGATGGATCAAGCATGTGGTCACAGGGACACATCTTCGCCTGCATGCCTTATTGATTCAAGTGCACCTGCTGAAATTACAGGTTTGTTTCATCATCATCATCATCATCATCATCATCATGTTCGCCAGTCACTACAGCCTGAAGTAACATCATCATTTACCAAAATTAACAAGATTTTGATTTGTAATGCTGACAGAAGTGGTAGCTCAGTATGTTACTGTCTTACAAACTTTTACTAAATGCAACTTTGGAATCACATAATTTTCTTGTACTTCCCCTGTTTACCTTACCTTCTCTGTGTTCGTAATTGTTTTGTTCCCCTGTTAAGATTTGGATGGCGGAACAGAAGGGAACATTGAGGACGAAACCAACGTCGAATCTGGTGATGAAGCTGACAATGAAGAGTTGAGCTCAAATTCAAAAGGCAGTGTTGAGGGAAGCAGTGGGGCAAGAGAGGAAAGACTAAGTGGGGCAAAAAACCCAAATTGGAGATGGAAGCGGAGCAAAAACTGATATGAAAAAAAACAAAGTTGTCAAGAAAGGCAAAATGACCAGATTTGAGAAATCGTTTGTAGTGTTAACCGAGAGCTTCAAAACTGCCGCTGAACAGGAGATGGACATGCTTGTAAAGCTTGAGAACATGCGCCAAAAAGAAATGTTGGTGCACGAAATACGGCTGAAAGAATAAGAGAATGAGCGTCGCAGGGAGGAGCGACAACATGAGCTGATGTTGGTTAATTTTTTAAGCCAAAATAGAAATCCATTTAAAAGAATGGATTTCTATGAAGGAAGCAACCCTGTCCACAGTGGCAGTGAGAGCAGCTTTTATGAAATGTAAAGACTTATAGTTTTCAGAGGTTGCCGTTGGTTGTTGTTGATGTGAAGAGACAATTTGTGAAAATGCTTTTTTCCCTCTGTTTTGTAACCATCTGGTTCACATCTTTCATACGGAAATAGTTTTACGTGACTGTTTATTGTCCTTGAGACCAAATCATTTGGTCATTTTAAAGAAGGTTAAAATCAGCAAGGGAATATATTGTTCTGTACACTATTGATGCATTGTGTTTTATAAAACATGGGTAAGAACCAGAATTAAAGACTTTTTTAAGTGTAAGAAATTTTGGCGTTGTTTAAGCTGACATCTTACTGATATGAAGCTGGAATAGAAGTTAAAAGTTATGTTCATCAGGACTAACAAGTTTCTGTTACAAATTTATTATATTGTTAATTTAAGAACCACTTGTGGAACAAATTTGTGACTATCATTGTTAATGTTTATCTGAAAACCACTTTCAAATAAAGTTGCTGTTTGAACTGTTTTTATTGTGATCATCATTGGTTTATTTATAATTTACATGAGAAACTCAACAGACTAATTACTTTTTTTTTCAATTGATGTTAAAACCTCGCACAAGCAGAGATACAACTTTTTGATTGCAAAATTAAACAAAACCTCCCACAAAAAAGTGCAAGATGTCATTGATACAACAATTCATATGATAAACTCAGGATCCATGGCAGCAACTGTCTAACTGTAATGAATGTGAAAGTGTTTTGTGACAGTGAAATCATTCACCACCCCTTCCAATATGTCGGCCCTCTGGTGTCTTAAAGAATAGTGCAAGGGCATCTCGAATGTTGGCGGCATCTGTTTCAGTCTGTCTTTCGATAATTGCCAATGGGATGATGTCGGGCTGTTCAACAGCATTCTGTATATCCTCGAGCCATTCTTCTAAAAAGGCATCCCTCTTTAATTCACAGATTTTATGAAGGATGCATGAAGCAACCACAAGGTAACATGTGGAGTCAACAGCCATATCAACACGCTTAAGAACTCGTCGAAAACGTCCTTTCCATCTACCAAATGTGTCCTCTACAGTCATACGTGCTCTGCTAAGCCTATAATTAAAGTGCCTCTGCCAGTTGGGTGTGTTTTGATTTTCTGGGTAAGCTTTTATTAGCCAGTCCAAAAGAGGGTAAGCAGGGTCGCCAAGAATAACAGGAGCAATATCAATACCGAGTATTGTTTCTTTGATATTGGGATCAAAAAGATCTCCGTTACATCCACGATTATAAATTTCTGAATTAGAAAGCACTCTTGCGTCATGGACGCTGCCTGGCCAACCAATGACCACATCTCGAAATAAGTACTTTGAGTCCACCATTGCCTGCAGCACTATACTGTGATAAGATTTCCTATCATATAATCAGTACGATTTTCCAGAGGAGCTTGTATTGGAATGTGGGTGCCATCTATAGCACCTGCACATGAGAGAAATCCCCATTTCTCCTTGTAGAGCTTAATGACTTCACTCAAATCTTCTCCCTTTGGTATTGACAAGAAATATTTTTTCGGCTTTTTTTGTTATTGCTTTGCAAACATCTTTTATGCAAAGACAAACAAACGACTTTGATACCCCAAATAAGTTTGCTATTGTCCGGTATTCCGCTGTGGAGCTCATGTAATAAAGTGTTATGGCTGTTCTCTTCCTTGGGGAGATGGCTTTACGCATTGAAGTATCCTGACGACCAATTTCGTCTTCAATCTGTGAAACAATGTATTCAATAATTGTTTTGGAAACACGAAAGTTATCGTACCACTCCTTGTCGGTGAATGCGGTTTCCACGACCTGAAACCATTGATCTGTGCGTGCCAATGTCCAGAATCTTTGCTCTATAGTATTACAAGCTAGCACGGATGCAATTATCAACAATTTGTATATTCTTCTTCTTTTTCTGTTCTTCTGGAAAGATAAAGACGAAAAGCTTGACTTCGTAATTCCTTTCGAAAAGACGCTAGATCTTTTTAGCAGGAAAACTCAAGATACTTTTCGTCCGCCATGATGTTCTTACTTAGCAAGCCGCATGCGTACGAAGCGAGAATTGCGAACGCTGGCCAAGATGTTGAGCCTTTTACCCGAACCAAGACATTAATTCCAACCGCTTAGCACGGCAGAAAAAAGGACGTGTAAACAAGCACCAGTGCTACTTTTTTTTGGTACGCGAACCGTTTTTACCCGAGCCGTACCAAAAAATATTCTTCCGTGTAAATTGGCCTTTAGATAAGAATTGATATGTCACGGATAGATTCTGAACCGGAAGTCCTCGGGATCTAAGGAAAGTTTTGAGTATATTCATCAGTACAGTAGCTAACGTTTTCGGAACTATTCTGCTGTTAAATAACGACCCTTTGAAGAGAAGCCTTCCGTATTCGTGTTTTATATCTGTTTTGAAGAAAACTTAAACTTTAGGGTTTATTTCGGAGTTAATAACTTGTAGAGTTTTTTTGTAATAAAAATCGTTACAACATTTACGACCAGTGAAAAATAATGAACCTCAACACAAGAATATTCCGTAACACAATAGAAACACACACGTTACCAAAACCACCCATTATACAGCTGAGTTGTTCTGAGTTTGAACTCTAACGAAACGATAATTAAAATTCAACTGCCTGGCTACAGTGCGATCCCTAGAGTTCAGATTGTAAATAACAAGAAACATTGATGTAAGAAAAAAGATTAGCATTAGGCACAAGATTATCTCGAAAAGCAAACACAAATAGCCGACGATGGTCATCGCATGTTCGAATGAATTGAATCCAAATAAAGAAAAAGTGACAGTTAAGAAAAAGTATGAGTGAAAAGAAAAGGAATTCCCCAAGATGTAAAAACCGTTTGAATGACTCGGAGGCACTTCATAAATGTCAAGTATTTCAAAGGTTACACCACGCCAATGTATCCCTTTACAACCATTGTGGGGATGCAACGGAACCAGCCGAAGATCCAAAGCCACAATTTCATTGAATTTCTTGTTTAAGAAAATTTTAAACAAAAACGTTTTAGGCAAAAAGAATTGTTTATATAAGGGTTTTGTAAAACCATCTCGCTCCCATCAACTCTTAAAACTTACTTAGGGCAATGGATGACGTTTAGTTAAGTAGCATTCAAGGCTGCAAACATTTATCATCCTAGAATGTTCTGTCAAACGCCTTCTGCACAGAATTTTACGCCGGTCGTTGGTTTTCAGAAAGAATGTACCAGTCAGAAATTGAAAACAGAAGCAGAGTATTTTTTACTTCATCGTCTGATGTGTTTTATTTCTCAAAGTGTGAAATAGTGAAAATTAGCCCCTATTTGGCCAAGAACTACAAATATTTCAAATGACAATAATTTCAAGCGTGAATCGCCCCCTTTTAATATCAAAGGAGTGAAGTTAACAAATAAAGAAGCCTCGAAGCTTCGTTCTGTTGTAAAGCAGCAACAAGCAGCTGTAGCACAAAATAAATGTAGGGGGGAAACACGAGATGTAATCGAGTGCTTTCTCTACTTTTTGGCGCTTGGCATGTTTACAAACCTCTCGCCTTTCCTGTTACTACTTGCCGGGTAGGTGCAGGCGGTGTGCGCACTCTGATTGCGTTGCATCATGGCCGGTACAACGAAAAGTGAGTCGTTTGCATCCTGTCGCGGTCGAAAGTTCTAAAGTGTTTTCAGGCCTGCGCGACTCACGTTATTCCTCCGTGACAAATTCCTTGTTAGGAGGCAACTGAAGAGATTCAGAAAGAATCGAAACTGCAGCTTTGCCGAAGAATGTATTCATTTGGCAGCAGTCCTGCTCACAGCCGATGGCTCTGTTAATAATATCAAATTTGCGAGTTATTTAACAGGGAATCGACCCTTGACATGCAAATGTATTACAAAGAGACAGCGACCTTCTGAGACACGAACTGTTTTTTTATGTCATGCACTTAAAGGCCTAAATATGGGATTCGCGAAAGGAGAAACCCAAATTCGTCACGCTTAACGTTTAACAAAAAAACGTACAGATTTTCAAATATGCTTAAAAAAAAAGGAAATACTCAGAATAAGGTTTTGAAAACCGTATCTCTAGAGTTATCTTCTGTGGGAGAGACAGTATGTACTTGAAAACAGAGAAAATAGCGCGCACACATAAAAATATATCCTTTTGTAACACAATCTCATTCAGCTTTGCCAAACCTCAAGAACATACAGACAGGGAAATGACAGGAAACTAACCTTTATTATCACATCGCAGAGGAAAGTCATTAAGAGATATCTTAATAACAGCACAGGCCTATCAACACCTTTTAACGATCGACTGCCTTTTGTTTTCCGGTGTTCTAGCGGATTTGGACCCGTCTAGATTTGGACCCCCGGTCCAAATCCGCTAGCGCTTCCTAAGTGCTTTAAAACAGAACAGAGCACAGTCAAGGCTTTTCAATTTGTTTTATGATAAAGAATCCGTTAAATTTCCCAATAATTACTTTCAATTTTCAAAACAACAGTGTCGTCAGCATGCTCTATACTCTCATAAATCACACTACAATAAGCCAATCAGAATCCCTGTTAGAATGGTTCAAATAATCTGATGGTCTGTCAAAAAATGTCAAACCAGAAGAGTTCACATTCTGCAATAGTTTACAAACTAAAATAGCTCGGCATTTCGAATTTAACACCTTTGCCTGGAGTTTTTTTAGTTTCAGTGAAATTCGGCCCAATGGTGGCTCACAAAAATACACAACTTATTTCATATGAGAAGAAGAAAAAAAACTGTTCAAGGCGAGTGTTTTATGAATGAACGACAGCCGAACTCATCAGGACATGAAGATCGATCGGAATGACAGCGCCGTAAACCTAGGCTGCAAGCTCTTATTTTTCCATCCAAAGGGTAGTCGATGTAGTTCCTGAGGCTTGTTCCACTGCGATGACCGAAGATCGCCATGATGATTTAGCCGCGAGAGACCTCAGCATGATCGCAGTCGCTCTGACACCGTCATAATTTGTATGAATTTTAACAGTTATGCCAAGTTATATTTTTCATCATTCTTGTTTTTTTTCTGTTTTGTTTCTGAACACGAAACTTTATATACTATACAAGTGTTAGCTGTGTTTGATTTTTATTACCGTACGTAAACTTGCCATCTAACTGAGCGTGAAAACCTTAAAAACTCGGACTGTTCATTTTGTTTTATCTTTGAGGATTTTTGTCTCTGCTCACGTTACAGTAACGTAAATTACTGCGCCTGGCATTTTTGCAAACCTTTGCTTGCTCGTTCCGCAATTTCACTTTCAATTAACGAGAGAAAAGCTGGAAAGAAGTCCCGGAAAAGGTCGGACATAATACAGTTTGGCAGATGGCGTGACAGCTTTAGCTCAGCTCTATGCTCTCTACTCTTATTACTCTCACGCTCTTTCAACCAATGACAGCGCGCGTTATATTCAAAATTTATTTTAATTCCCTTTATTTCTTGACTTCCAGATTTTTTCGTGTATGCTTGACACCCCTCTAAAGAAAAATAAACTGTTAATATGCGCATGCCTATCGTTTGATGACCACTCTTTATTTGTGAATGCAAATCATTATTTTCCTGATCAAAAGCTCAAATATGGTGATCACATTTTATATTGACATATAAATACAGATACTCTTAATCACTTATTCTTTGTCGGATCTCAGCTCCCAGACTTTTCATTTGTTTCCTTGAAAACAGAGCTACCTTAAATAATCTGAAAAATAAGTTGGCTCTGATCTGCATGTACCGTATTTCTTCGAATAACCCCCTCACTCTGATATCCACCCTCACCCGGATAAGCGCCCTTTCCCTGGGCCAACATATTAAACGACCACCCCCTTCCCCCTCCTCGAATAAGCGCCCTCCTCTTGCCTTACTTCCTTCCTTAGACAGTAAGGATGCAAGGAAAACCTGTTGCTATTGACACTTAATTTGTAACTTTTTAAACTTTACCTAAAGCTAAATCAGAACAGGTTGATAGTTCGTTAATAAGAACCCCTTTTATTAAGCGCCTCCCTTCCGATGAGAAAGCGCCCAGAAATCGTAGCATGCTAATTGCAATTTTATATATATGAAAAAGGGAGTCATCGAGCAAACAAAGGTAAAAGTGAGACTGTAGCGTTACTATGATAACCATCTATGTCATGACAGAAAAAAATTACCTTAAAACGTTACGAATAATTTGATAATCATATTTTGACACCATTTTCAAAGGAACGTGATAAGTGTGTTTGTACCGATTTTAGTTCGTAAGCTCTTTCCACGTGCAAGACTGATAGCAAATTCATGAATTTTATTCTTTGAAAATGATTTGTAATTCAAATGAGTTTTCCAACTTTGAACGACGGGCTG